CGAAAAATTAGGTGTCTATTTACTTGTGACCACTCAATGTATTTAATGCGCTTTTTTTTTTTTGAATAAATAAAATGTTAACTCGTGCCATAAGACAGGACTATGATGGTAGTATTTAAGACAGTCTTCTTGTCAGTATTGTATAAACAAAAATATAACTTTATAGCAATATAAGATCATTTCAATCGGAAATGTAACGTTTCGTTTTGTCGAAAACGTTGGTAGCTTCTTTATTCAAACTATTTGCTTTAGTAAATATGACGTCATTTACGGTGAGAACGACGTCATTATTAGTTATTTCTAGATATATCTTTACATACTGAGGTAATGTTGCCAGCTATCTTACGGAACCATCACGAGTGACATATTACAAGAATAAAGCACCGTCATGAATGAATTCTTCCAGTCATGCTGATGTAGCTAGTAAGTACAAAAATCACGGCCACAACTATAACTCACTTTGGAAGTGAAAGACACTCTGGTAGAATACAAATACGACAGATAGATAGATATGTTAACGGCAAACCCAGAGAGGCGATATTAGAGCTGTGGCATTTAAATTTAAATTATATTTTAGATGATAAAATAGTGCCGAGCCCTCCAGTGGCAGAGCAGTATGTCTGCGGACTTACAACGCTAGAAACCGGGTTTCGATACTCGTGGCGGGCAGAGCACAGATTAGCCCCTTGTGTAGCTTTGTGCTTAATTACAAACAAACAAATAGTGCCGGCGTATTTCTGTAAATTGCTTGTATTTTAAAATAGATACTAGTGCAGAGCGATAAATCAAAATTTCGGTTATTAAAATAAACATCCAAACTAAATTTATACGATTATTTAATACCGACATTTCGATTTGATTAGTACATAGAAACTGACCACTGTTTGTATGGTCACTAACAGAGAAGAACAGAGACACAGTTATCTTCATTATCTTATCTACAGGGCTAACAGCAAAAACAACAACAAACATTAACTTTCTTCTCAATGTTGAATTGTTCACTAAAAATAAGAAATGATGAATTAATGCATTATGTTTGTGAACTTTCGTGTTGTATATATATATTTAGTTATCTTTGTTTCCGGCAATACTGGGTAAGAACTGTGAGTAAGTTGCGTGTAAGGCCACTCTAGTGCTTGTCGTTCTGGAAGAGCTTTGAAGCAATGCAAGCAAAGAGACACGCTTTCCTGTTCGAAATACAACTCCCAGAGTGCATATCAAACAGCTTAATAAGTGTTTTTGTTTGTAACGAACAACGTGACAGTTCCTTCACCAGCAAAACGTTCAATTTTAGTCAGAAAAAACACAAAAAACAACTTGTCTGGCAGTAATACAAGGTAATTGATCATTTACATACATACTATATAAATACACATGTACTCACAAGCTGCTTAGTATGTATAGTATTTTTCGAGGAAGTCAAAAAGGCAAAATTACAAATTACATTGTTTTTTTTTTATTAATAAAACAAATCTTGGTTTTAGATTACTTAATCTTTCTCACCTGACTTTTCGTAATATTTTTTTGAGTCAATGAACCCCAATTTAGCTATTGTTAACTATCCTCTCTTGTATGACGTATCGTATTATTTATTGGGTTAATGGCCACCAAGTCGTCTGTTAGTATGTTTCGTATTTTTTCATTATTTCCGTGACTCTTTTTCATATTTTTTTTAATAAACCAATTAGAATAATTGATAATCGTAATCGGGATTATTTACGAATACCGAATCGCAGAAATGAAAATCGTTGCACTAATGGATACAATTTTAGGACTTGTTATAAACGAGCATATATAGTTCAATAACTTTTAGTTTGGACATGATGCCAAAAGAAATTTTTAGGGAGTTTCGGAGATAAATTTATTTGAAGAATAACAAGGGTTTCATAGGAAAAAGACTGTGGTATGGCCTTTCAAGATCTGTTATTAACAGAACACCGTTTCAAGTTTAATACACATACTGATATCATTATTTAATAACCTTTCTATATCTCAGAAAGACTCATTCATCAACAAACTGATATCATTCTCGTTGATACAGATGATCATGGGTATCAACTTACTTCGTCACGATGCTATGGTTGTGTTCCTCGTGTCTATTATGTTTTACATTTTCCAGAGGTCTCATTTTTGCTCATTCGTCTTTAGGGGTTCAAATACCTAGTTCCTACCCACTAATCCGCCTTGCCCCTACCTATCAGCTCCATCCAGGATCAGCCATTGAGCATGTACCCTCCAGAATCGTTTTCCTGTTTGTTAGTCTGAGATGGGTAGGTAGATAGATACTTTTTTGATACCTTTTATTAAAA